GGAACATAATTCAAAAAACATTTGAATCAAGTGGTCTAAATTGTAAAAAACCTTTATAAGTAGTTTTTTTTTAATCTTATATTTTAAAAAAAACTTTTTTAATAGTAAGAGACATTTAAATTATATTCTTGCCTTTAATTTAAGAAACTATCTTTAGTAGTAATATTTAAAAATATTTAAGAATATTTTCAAAAAAATATTTCTTAAAACTTTATGCTCGAAAACTTTTAATTAGAAAGAATATTGATTTTCTATTGTTAATTTTTCTTTCAAATTATATCTTTTAAAATTATTGCTTTATTTAATTAGTATATAGTTTTAAAACTTCTTTTTCAATTATTTTTGAAATAAATATCATTATTTTAACTTGTTGCCAGATTGAAATAAAATTTAAATTTTATATTTACTTATTGTTTCTAGAAAAATATAAGAAAAAAAAAGATATTGTTTCTTTTTACTTATAACTTTAACTTTATCTAATACTTATATACTACTTCTTTAATTAAAAACTGTTTAATCTTTTAAGAATTAATTATATTATTGAATTTGAATTTATATAACTAAAAACATATAAAAAAATATTTCTTGTATATTTTTTTATAACTGATAGAATTAATTAATTTGTGATCTTAATCAATTATTTTAAGAGATTCAATATAATAAAAATTTAAGATCAAATCAAAGTAAATAAAATTCTTCAAAAAAATAAAAAAAAAAGAAATAAAAAATCAAAAAACTGAAAACTTATATTTTTTTTATTTTTTTGAATTCTTGAATCTTTTGAAAGTTTATAATAAGTATTTTTTCTTATCAGTATTTTTTCTAAAAAGATATTTTTGTTATAGATCTTTTGGATAGATTTCTTGTATTCTTAGTTGCAAAAATAAACAAAAAAAGTGTTTTGAAAAGAAAAAAGTAAACAAGTAATAGCTTATTTTGCTAATTAAAAAACCAGTATTGTTAAAGAAAATATATAGACTTTATTATTATAAAAATATAAAATTTTTGAAAACATCTGTTTTTTGGATTATAAAAGAATTAGTAAAAAAGGTTTATTATAATTTAATTATATTATTTTAATATTTTTAAAAAATTATATATACAATATATATTTATTCTTTATATTTTAAATACATGTATGTCTATTTTTATTTTAATTATTTAATTATTTTTTATAAAATAAGTTTTGATTTTTTTTCAATTATTTTTGTTTTATACTATATAAATAATTATTAGAGATATTTTTATTTATTCATCAAAATAAGAAATTATATCAAACTTCATTAAACAAAATTAAAAAGATTTATATTAACACTCTAAATTAAAGAATAAATAAATTTTAATAATTATAATAATAATTGTAATTAATTGTTGTTTTTTTTAATTATTTTTAATTATCTTTTTAATTTAGTAATTTGTTGTTCTAATATAATATATGATTGTATCTAAGTATTATATATGATTATATACAGAAATTAAAATTGCATTGTTTTCTTTATAAGAATCTTCAAATATCTATTGAGAGATAAATTGGAATCTTGGTTCGTTATTAACTTTATTCAATATTGTAGTTTAGATTTTACGAGTATTACTAATTTTAGAAGTCTGTAGATCAAAAAGGAAAAATTGCATGAATTTGGAGGACCGGAGCATCGATCTCCGTGCCTTTCGCATGCTAAGCGAACGCTCTACCATTTGAGCTAGACCCCCGTGATACAACGCTGATTGGATTACTAATCAATAAAATGGATTTCGGGATAGACGGACTGATAAGAAATGGCTTTTTTGGCGAAGAAAGCAACAAGTATAAGAAGAAACAAGATGAATCAAAAAAACACTTCAAAACAACTGAAGAAAGAGATATACCATGGGTGAGAGCACAAGAATTCCGAGGAGAAAAAGATGAGGACCCATATGTATGGTTAGAGTCCTACGAAAGAGTCGCCAGAGTCAATAACTGGTCAGATGAAAGAAAGTTAAAGATGTTAGTAAGCCATTTGGAAGGTAATGCAGGAGACTGGTACGACTACCAACAACAACGGTTCGAGTATTGGGACGACGAAGAAGATCGAAGGAGAAGCTTCGTACCATTATTTCTGAAAACCTTCGTAACTCATGAACAACGACATCAATGGTACACCGACCTAGTTACCATTAGACAGAAAAGTGACGAGCAAGTAATGGCATACACCCACCGGTTCTGGAAACTACAAAGAAAGGCTGACCCTAATAACGACCTGTCAGGAAGAGGAGGTGTTAGAATCTTTATGGAAGGGTTACGGAAAAAGGCTGCCGCTGTACTTACCGTCACAACCACCACAACCTTGAACGAAATCCTAGAACAAGTAACGCAAGCCGACTTGGATGGAGAGTTCGAGACATCTGGTGATGAAAGGGAGTCAGGCAAGACGGAAAAGCTAGAAGGAAGAATTCAGGAGTTAACACAACAAATGCGAGACATGAAAGTACGGTTCAACAAACTTAACACACCTGTCGAAAGTTCGGAAAGCAAATCAAGGGCAACGAATGGAGAATGTTACGAGTGTGGAGAAGTAGGCCATCGAGCCAGGAACTGCCCGAAAAAGGATAACACGACGAAAAAGATGGAGCAAACCAAAGAAGTTCAGTTCCTCGTCGTGGAGAACGATAAAGGGAAAGGAAGGGAAGCTTACGCAGGAGATGTCCAAGATAACAAAGGAAAGAGAAAAGAGGTATTGGAACCAGGGTCCAACTGGGACGGACATCTAAGGAACAGATCGAAGCTTGATCCACAAGACCCCGAGTACTATGACGACATACCAATACCCAACGAGGATGAGAAGATGGAGGAAGCAACGCCAGCCAGAAGAAAGTCACGACGAAAGAGGGGACCCTCAGAATTGGATAGAACACCCTCCTATAACGTCCTAAAGGATATCCTAGCAACACCTGCCAATGCTATGATAGGACAAATGTTACAGTTTTCAGAACAAAGAGAGATACTGGCAAAGGCAATAAGAAGACCGCTCGTTCCAGTAGAAACCAACTATGTGGAAGTTAAGAAAAAATAAACGACCGTGATGAAGTGCTAAATAAAGATTAAGGATATAAAAGTAGATGCTGTTGTTGATACGGGAGCCGCCGTAAGTTTCATATCGAGTAGGTTGATGAATTGGTTAAAGTTAAAGATCGAGGAGAAGTCAACTACAAATGTAGTATCTGTTACCGGTCTAAGAACGAGAACGCTGGGAAACATTAATAATATAAAGATATCTGTACAAGGAACCTTGATCCCGACGCCACTCCAGGTAATTGACTCCAAAGATGAGACGCTGCTATTGGGAAATGACTGGTTCGAAAGGGTGAAAGCTAGAATTTACTACGACCAGCAGAAACTTGTGATCAGATACGATGGAAAGAAAATCAAGATTCCCATCACGAATGATAAAGCAAAAAGGATGCCGAATATTGAACATGATGGTAACAATAAAGCAAAAAAGATACCAAATACTGAATATGACAATAACAATAAAGCCAAGAGAATGCCGAATATCGAACCTGATAGTAACGAGTCGACTGATGAAGATGATACAGAGAAGATATTTGATGAGATCGTATACGAAAAAGAAGAAGTAAAAGAAAAGAAAGGATACTACACTGGGGAATCGCATAGTGACTCTGATCCCGATGATAAAGTACAATCGAGGAACCAGGTCCCGCGGTGTACTTAGCCCAGATGGATGAACAAGAAGATGATGATGATGAAGATGTATTCGTAGAAGCAATGGAAGAATTGCCAGCAGAAGAAGATGATGTAATGGTAAGAGAAGAATTACCGATGACAAGTAACGAAGAAGTGGTAGTAGAAAAAGAAGATAGCGCAATGACAATGGATGAAGAATTGACTGAAAGTCAAGTACAACAAGGAAAAGACGTGCTGACGAAAGAACGTGATGTGTTCGCGCAGAGCATACAAGAGTTAGAACGTACCGATATAGTGCGACACGGTATCGACACCAGAGAAGCTAAACCAATTAAGCAAAATGCATACAGGGCAGCATCAGATATAAAAAAGTTTATTAAGAAGGAAGTTGTGCAGCTTATGGAAAGGAGTTTAATCTGGGAATCGAAAAGCCCGTGGACGTCGCCGATCGTGGTCGTACCAAAGAAAGGAGGAAGACTACGATTATGTGTCGATTATTGCAAACTGAATACTGTAACTAAGAAGGATGCTTACTCTTGTCCCGAGTGGATGATCTGATCGAGACTTTCTCCAAGGCCAACTGGTTCGGCACCCTTGATTTAATGTCAGAATATTGGCAAGTAATGATGGAGAAAGGGGATTGTAAGAAGACCGCTTTTGTGATGAACTGGGGGACATATGAATTCAATGTTATGCCGTTTGGGTTGTGTAATGCCCCGGCAACATTTCAGAGACTGATGAATACGCTGCTGAGTGAATTCATAGGAAAGTTCGTAGTGGTGTATTTAGATGATGTAAACATTTACTCTGAAACTTTCGAAAGTCACGTGACGCATGTTAGTGCAGTGATCCAAAAGATGAAAGAAGCCAAATTGAAACTCAACTTCGAAAAATATGCTTTCTTTCGCCCGAGCATCACCTTCTTGGGACATGTCATAAGCCGGAGAGGTATTCGACCTGATAAAGGAAAGGTGGATAAAGTTAAGAACTTTCCTATATCAAAGAATTTAAAACAGTTAAGAGGGTTCGTAGGTTTAGCATCATATTACCGAAGATTTATTCCAGGCTTTGCGACAATCGCACGACCACTTCACGACTTGATGAAAAAGCATGTTAAATTCAAGTGGGAAACAGAGCAAAACCACACGTTTGAGGCATTGAAAATGGTACTTAGTTACCACACCGGTTCTAAGGTACTCCGACTTTGCGAAAATCTTTTTTGTGCATACTGATGCTTCTGGAGTTGGATTAGGCACAGTATTAGCCCAAAAAGATGATGAAAATAAGGAATACGTAGTATTATACGCTAGTAGGATGTTAAACAAGCATGAGAGAAATTATGCTGCCACGGAGCTGGAGTGTCTTGCAGTGTTGTGGGCAGTCAAACACTATCAGCATTATTATGGCATGAACCCCTTCGTAGTAGTGACCGACCACCTAGCATTGAAGTGGTTACGGACAACAAAACTATTAGGAAGACGTGTAAGATGGATTTTGAGACTACAACCTTTTAATTTTATGGTCGTACATCGCAATAGCAAGAAGCATAACAACGCTGATGCATTGTCACGTCTCTAAAACCAACACAAGTTAACCGATAAAGGGGAGTAAAAGGTAGAAGAAGTGGAAGTAGAGGAAACAAGTTAGTTAGACCACCGCAAAAAAAAAAAAAAAAAAAAAACAGACGAATAAATCCGAGAAACAGAATCCAGCCCAGGTTCCGGTGTCCTGGCAGAACCACGATAAAATCTACAAAAAAAAAATGGAGTCTACACCATTCAACCATCTTAAGTATTACTTGCAGCATCAAGAAGCGCCGCCAACACTTGACAAAGAAGAAAGGCAGCAATTGCAGAAAGAAAGTAAGAAATATGTTGTTGTGCTCAACGGCGAGTCTGTCGCTAATCCGGACCAAGACTCGTACTACGTTGGGAGCGTGGATCTATGTTGCTGGCGATACCAAAGGTACGTATGGTGATAATTATCTTAATCTTCCTTTATGTTTAACTAGTCTCTTCTTCTAATCCCTTCCTTACGGCACTATAAGGTCCTGGATTCTCTTTAAGACGACTAAAAGACAAATAAGGTAAGTTTATTAATTATCGTTACACAGGTACAAGCACTTGGGTTTTCAATGAATAGTATTTTATTAATTGATTCGCTCAGATACACGATAGATACACTATGTTTATGATCTATGATATGTTGCATCTATTTATATGCCTTGCGACGCGTCTCTAAATCTATCGTCGTGTAATGCAAAATTACTAAACTTCTACAAACTCTGTGCCCATCAATCATGCATGATTGATGCATGACTGATGCCCCATGTGGCATCGCGCCGGGCCCCACATGTCGCGTCATATCCCCCTACTATAATTTTTATGCTAACAATGTGTACAAGAACAGCATTTTATATAAAAAGAAAGGAAATAATGAAGAGTGCCTTTTGCACGTGATCCAATGGCATGAAATAGAACCTGTGTTATTCTTAACACATAGCCATCCATTAGGAGAACATTTCAACAGCGATACTATGCTAGCAAAAATCAGAGAAACATACTTTTGGCCACAAATGCACGATGACATACGCATGTATGTACAAACCTTTGGTATCGCCAGCGACATAGACCCACTCTCCCAACATAGCACAAGTCTTGGTCCGGATTAGCAACTGACTCGCCGTTGAGACCCAACAATAGGAAAGGATCTGGCTAGATGTAATGGAAGGTCTTTATATAATGGAAATAAGAAAAGTTTTAATAGTAGAAGTTCAAAGTATGTGTCAGATAATTTTTTTGAAATATAATAATGTTCTCTAAGCTTTTCTACATATAGTTTAAGATCCAGTAATTCTTGTTTTTCAATTAGTGGAAAGAAATGTTCATCTAATGGTTCAAGATCTCTTGGATTCTTGGAAAGGTCAGGTTTTTTGACAAAATACAATGTAAATAGAAGGTCAAAGTTGTAAAAAGCTCTTAAACTTCCAGTAATTATATTTGTATCTTTTGTAGAAGTTATTTATATGGTCTTGGAAAGTTGAACTTTGATTGCAACAGATATTTTACTTGGATCATCTGAAAGGGTAGAAAGGTTTTTCTTAATTATTTCTTTACAGGTTTTATATAGTTTTTTGTAGTTGATTTTTTGAAAGGTGGATTAAGAAAAAAGTGAAACCATATTCAAACAGTTGGGCAACTTGTTAGAATTTAATGTAGATAAGTCAGTTGATTTGAAGTAGGTTACAAATAATGCTTTATTAATAAGTACATTAATTTTTCCTGGTTGTCCTAATAATATATTCAGGGTTGTTAGAATTCAGATAATTATCATGAAACTTTTTTTTCAATTTTTCATACTCTTTTTGATATTGCCTTTTAATTAGATCCTCTTTGATAAAGGTCCTAAAGAAATTACAGTCTCTGTATTTAATTTTTAAGAATATATTTTTGAAAGATGTTCTTGGTAAACCAGTTAATTCATTTTTAATTTTGATAAAAAAATTAATAATTGCTTTAGCAAATCTTTTACAATGGTTTAATTTGTTGCAGAATTTTAAGATTCTGTTATGTTTATATGAAATGGCATTTTTAATATTAGATAGGAATTGGTTGACTTATTATTGATGGTTTCCAAAAAATTATTTGTTTCATCAGCCCAAAAAGCATTAAGAGATTTTTATAGTATCTTCTGATTGGATAAAAGAAGGGTAATCATCAATTTTCATATTGGAGTTGTTTGTTTGAGCTGGTTCTTGCATGGTTATGTGAAAAGGATTGTTATGAATTGGATTTGTCTGTAATATTGTCTGGTCATCTATATTTGCATAAGGGCTGGATTGATTGTTATTGTACTCAAGAGTAATTGCATATAAAGTGTTATTTTTATAATCAAACTGCATGCTATTGTTGTTAATTCTTCTCCAATTAGGGCAGGAATATTTGAAGGGGTATGGAGGTTTTAGTTTTTTGTTCCAAAGTGAAAGTTTTTGCTACTTTATCAATATTAATCTCAATTTTATTTCAAGAGATATAGTATATAGATAGTAATTGAGTTTTTGCTTGAGAAGTTTTTCATAATATCTATCCTGTTTTTGTCAAAAAGATTAAAGATATATTAATAATTAAAAAAGTAATTGAGAGCTTCTAAAGAAATTGGATTCAATAATATTGATTTTACTTCAGTAAAATAGTTGCCAAGTCTTTTTTTGTATGTTTCAAAAGATACTGATATTACTTTAATACTTTCATAGTTTTTTTCATGACAGTAGACTGAAGTAAGCCAGGCTTTAAAAGGGTTTTCAAATTTTGGAAGGTGGATGTATTCAATAGGAGATATGATAAAAATATTGTTGGTTTTGATATTTTTACAAATGATAATAACTAAACATTTCTTGATATCAGTACAAGAACATCAAGTATGTGGGGTGGCTGAAAAGTTTTACAAATCGATATGTAACTTGATGATTTGACTATAGAACCAAACATGGTTATGATTTTTTGAAAGCATCACTTCGATTAACTTGGGACAAAAAATTTGATTTAATTTGATTTACTCACTCTTGAAAAACTCTTTGTTGAAGTTACCTACCTAAAACAAATGGAAAATTCTACCCACGAACATCAACGTTACTATATTTTTGTTAAATGGAAAAATGGCACAGCTGCCACTGATATTCATCAAAAGTTGGTAGTAGCAGAAGGAGATAAAGCACTATCATTAAATACAGTTTATCACTGGATTGAGGCATTTGAGCATGGACAGCAAAGCGTTAAAGATGAAGTACACTCTGGATAGCCTAGTGAAGCAGTCACACCAACAACAATTGCATTAGTTGAACAATTTGTCAATGATGACCATCATATAACTACACAAAAATTAGCAGAACAAATTGGTATTTCCAGAGAAAGAATTGATTATATCCTTCATCAAGAACTTGGCATGAGGAAAATTTGCAAAAAATGGGTTCCACATGTGCTAACTGAAGAACATAGACAGAAAAGAGTTGACATATCCAGACAGCTTTTGCAAATTTTAGAAAGTGGTTATAAAAATATTATTACCGGCGATGAAACATGGATACATTATTACACAACTCCCAATAAGGAAGCTAACAAGGTTTGGCTTACGGCTGAGGAGGATCGGCCCCAAATTGTAAGAACCGCTTTAAATAGTAAGAAAAATATGTTCTGCATTTTCTTTTCTGTTAAAGGTGTTGTGGCTAAAATAGTAGTGCCAAAAGGTGTCACAGTTACTGGCAGTCTCTATACTGATAAGATTTTGCCAGAAGTTTTTTTGAAATATAAGGAAATAACAAAAAGAAGTATTGTTCGAAATGTTATGCTTTATCACGATAATGCTGCGCCACATACGTCAAAGGTGGTTACTGGGTATCTAAAAAAGAAAAATGTTAGTATTCTTCCTCACCCTCCGTACAGTCCCGACCTGGCACCCAGCGATTTTTTTCTGTTCCCTAGAATCAAAAAAGAACTCAAAAATAAAAAGTATAATAAGATTGAAAATCTTGCATGGGCCATTCAATCAATTACCTCAAATATATCAAAAGATGAGTACTATAGATCGTTTGAGGATTGGTATAGGAGGTTACAACTTTGCATAGATAGAGATAGTCATTACTTTGAAGGAATGAAATAGTTTATTTCGATGTTGTAACATAAGTTTTGAAAATAAAAACATTTTTGCATTACTTTTCAGCCACTTCACATAAATATATACAGATTCAATAGGTTAATTCTTGAAGGATAAGGACAATCCTTCAGGGTCTTTCAAGATTTTTTTGTGGAAAAAATTTTGGTTTTCTTTTATGGTTATTTTTTCAGATTTTGATGTAAGTGAGAAAGAGTTTGTTTTATTATTATTATAAGTCCAAAGAAAATAAATTAAACAAAATAATAATAATAAACTGTTGCAATTTCTTTCAATATAACTGAAGAATAAACAAAACTTACAAATTTAAATAAATTCTAATATGAAATTATATTTTATAATTACTTTATCAACTTAAAAAAAAGATATTATCAAAATATTTTTTTATTTTTGATAATAAAGTCTTTCACTTTTTTTAATACTTTACTTCTTGAAGACTGGTATTTTTCATTTGTTTACTTTTCTTTTTTCAAAAAACTTTATATATATTAATAACAAAATAAATAAAACTTTATCTATTTTTGTTAATGAAAAAACATTTATTGAAAAGAAAAACCTATTGAAAAAACACTCTTTACTATATTCTCCTTAGATCTGAAACTCTAAAAAATAAATTATTAATGAATATATTTTTCAAGCTTTATAAGTACCTTGAATTTATCATAAATAAACACTTTTGGCTAAGATAAGTAAATTCTATCCTTTCAGATATATGATTTTTTTTATTAATTATATATATAGATGGTAATACTTTCAAATATATTGATAAAAATTTTGATTTTTTTAAAAAATTTTACTTATTACAGTTTGATTTTAAAATTTTGTTACATTGGAAATTCTGGATTAAAATTTTAAGCTGGTTAATCAATACATAAAAAAAATATAAAAAAGACATATTTTTCATGTGTTTCATATTATATAATATTAAAACTAATAATGTAACTGAATAAAGCAAAAAAGCAAAATATTAAAATATTTTTTTGTTAAGAAATGATTATTTTTTTCTTGTACTTGTTTCTTTTCTTTTCAAAATCAAAAAAGATTTTTATTAAACTGTTGATTAATTTAAAAGAATTTTTATTTATTAGTATAAAATTTTTTTTCTTTTAATTTTTAATTTTTTCTTTTTAAAAAATAAACTTTTTTTACTTTTTAGAACTATAGAAATTATATAAAAATAATAATTATAAATGTAGACTGGCAATAACTTTTTAATTTATTTAGTATAGTATCTAGCTAAAAAAAAGTAATTTTTTATTTTTTATATTCTTATCTAGAGAGTCAAAGAATTTAAAAAGTCTAAAATAGTTAATATCATGCAGTAATAGTTTAATAAACCAGTTTTCTTGTAGTAATTTAGTTAATAAATAACTAAATAATATAAGTAATACAGTAGTCTTAATATTAAGGATTCAAATATTATATTGTTGACTTCTCTTTTGGTAAGTCTATTGCTTCTCTGAAACTTTTTTTACATTAAATCAGATAAGGTTTAAGTTTCTTTACTTAAGGTATATAATTTTTGTTTAGCCAAATCTTTGTTAATTTTTTTTTTCTTTCTATTGTTGCTTCTCTTGATAAAACTTTTATCATTTTCTTTTGTAGTCCCAATCATTCTATCTTGTGACAAGTACTGGATTAGGTAAGCTAATTAGTTTTTTATTTCTTCTTGCAATGTTGATCACATATCTTAATTAAAAAGTTTTTAATTAAGAAGCAACTTTATTAAGATTGACACTATATTTAATTTTTTTTGTTATATCTAATTTTTTCTCTCTTGTATATGTTGTACAGTGCCGGTCATAAGTAACTGTACCTCTTTTAAAAATTCAAATTTAATCCAATTGTTTTAAAAATGCCAGGACAAATAGTTTATCACAATTCCTAATCCTCCAAAATTTTTCAGATTTTTGTGATTG